CAGGCAGAAGGAAGCGTTTCCGACCCCATAAAAAAAATATTTTCTTGATCAGGATTACTAGCCGAGTCGATCTAGCCATGTCCGTCTGTCCGTCTGTCCGGATGAACGCCGAGATCTCGGAAACTATAAGAGCTACGCAATTGAGATTTGGCGTGCAGATTCCTGAGCTTCTTGCGCAGCGCAAGCGTGCCACGCCCAGTCTAACGCCCACAAACCGCCCAAAACTGTTGCTCCTACAGTTTTGAAGCTAGAATAAAAATTTAAATGTATTGTTCTCATTAATACCTATCGATTGTCCCAAAAAAAGTTTGACACGCCCACTTTAACGCCCAAAAACCGCCCAAGCCTGTGACGCCCACAAACCGCCAAAACCTGTGCCGCCCACAATTTTCATGCTAGATTCATGTTTCTAAACATTTTCAAAAAATCATAAAAAATACAAGCAAAATGATTTTTGAAAAATTCTTTTTGCATATACTATTATTTTTGTTTGAAGAAACTTTTTGCATCAATGTCTTTTCAAGTCGAGAAAAAAAGTTTAAAAAGTAGAATTAAAAGTAAATTTACACAAATTCGCCCTTTTCAATAAATACTGAAGGGGCTAAGAAATGTATTGTATCATTCAAAAGGCATTTAAATTACCTTTCCATTGTTGCCAAAAGTTTACAAGAAGTAAGTTAAAATTATGAGTATATTTAACTTTTGTTTTGTCAAAATACTTATGCCGACCAGTGTAGCTGCGCTTTTCAGAAAACCGTCGGGCGCTAGTCAGACTGGCAGGATTCCGAGCCTAATGGCTTTTCGTTTAGATGGATCGCCTTCGATACCGGACTCAAGCTAGTCAAAGACTGCGCTTATCAGACAACCGTTAGGCGCCACAATCAGTTGATTCCACGTCAGGATCGACAGGATACATCGGTGCTACGCCTGCTCAATTCCAACTCAACTATTCGGGCAGCCGTACGACGTAGCTAAAGCAGTCCTCTGAAGAGTCGACCGAGTCTCCACTCAACTTTGCCGTGTGTTTGCCCTTAAGGACCACAGCTACCTGTACTTCAATTCGTAAACTTATGCTGTCCCGAACGTCTCGACGCAGCGATCTGGCTCCTTGCTGACTTGCACGGCAGTATTTCCTTGACTTTGACTTGCTTGACGTTGTTCACTTGACTGATACAGCTTCTTGCGCTGGGCCTATAGGGCTCCTGGTACCGGTAATCCTCGGATTCTCATTTTCGCCCTCTGCCCATGGCACCACCCCAGGGTCCAAGGTACGCGGTTTTGCCTGTCGACCTTTCCGGTTCTGCGCACGGCACCACTCTAGAGTCCGGAGTACGGGGATGCACTGTTGTTTCTTCGTTAACGGCACACCTGAGCTTTGCCATCTCGCTCCTACTCCTTCTGTGCCGCTATATCGCCACTCTCTGCTCCTTCTCTCCGATCTCTCTTCCTCCGTTCCCTCCAAAGACTGGATTCTCCAAACTTTCTTTTCTCGCAGTGCCGATACTACGCGAATTCGCTGCGTACTCAGCAACTGGCAGACCTCCGTAAAGTTATTATTCGCTTTATGGGTGCGGAGTTATTTAACTCCTTACAATACTACTGTGGCAAAAAGTAAGGTGAGAGGTGTTTGTAAAATTAAAATTCTTTTTTTGTATTCTTCTAATCAATTTCACCCCATTAAGTACCTCCCGATAAACCACACTTATGCAATCGATTTTTCCAACCCTCGAAACATAACAATTCTGGTGTAGCCATCAGCGCCTTCTTCGATTTTGTTTATCTCCTCAATCGACTTGAAACGCGTTCCCCGGAGTTGTCTCTCCAGTTTTGGGAATATCCAGAAGTCATTTAAAAGCAGTATCAGGAGAATACGGTGGTTGCGGAACGATTTGCGTCAACATTTTGACGAAGTGGTCACGAAGAACGTGTGAAATCTAAGCCTGTTCATTATCATGATGTAAACACCAAAAGTTTTTGCTTACCATAATTCTGGTCTTTTTTGACAAATTTTTATCGCAAACGACGTATAATGCACAAATAAGATTTCTTATTAACAGTTTGTGGCATCACTAATAAAACAACAAATTAAATGAAACTAATTGGGTGGATAAGAACCAAGATATGGGAAGAAATTCGAGAAACTATCAGAAATTTAACTTTCAAGCTTTACAAAATAGTTTAAAAAAAACTGTGCCATCGAAAAAAATTTGTATGACATTTTTGTAATCCAGGGTTCCAACACTAACAGAATTTACCATCATTCGCCTGGAAGCGTTTTGGATTTAAGCTAGTGTTATTATTTATTTCTTTAAACATGTCATATCATTTTAGCTCTGATAGTTTTCCCGTGCTAATATGTCCCAATCTGTCATGCCACAATTTCAAGATATTGAAATTATTTTTACTGTTCTGTAAGCCCATTGACTTCAATTAAATGTATTACTTTTTTTTTTGTTTTTGCAAAATCAATATTGAATTGTGTAGTAGCCGAATAAGTACTAGAATTGCTATAGTTATTGTAATTTGTAAAATTGAAATGGGATTTGGCATGTAGATTCTCTGGCTTCCTGTGCAGCGCAAGTTTGTGTAAGCAGGGTTAAATTCCCACCACGCTAAAAACCCGTCATCGAACAAATTTTTAAAAATTTTAAAATTTTAAAATGTAAATAAGAGATTGATTTAATATCAATACCCATCAGTATTCCAAAAATTATTCAAATCGGACCATTCATTTAAAAGTAATAACCAAACAATAATTAATAAATAGCATACTCCATAGAGTGCAAGAGGGATGGAGATATGTTCATACAGAAAATGGGCTGATTACGAAATTTCACTACCGCCACCTATGTTTCACATTCTGTGGCGTGTTAGTAAAATTTTGTTAACAGCCGATAGGAATGAACCATAGTCGGCGCTTTTTTGTTAACTGGGTCTCGGGTATCTGTTAGTCGAAACCGTTCACTATGCCGGGTTTTCTTGTTTTATTATAAAACTGCCTATCATTTCTCACAGCATGTAACACTTTGAAACTTGTCTCAATCTTAGCACCGAATGAAACGAAATCAGTAATTAGATCATCAAAAGTGTTAAAATGGTTCATAAGAGACGAATTTGGTTTAAACCTTATTGGTAATAGTTGATTTCTAGTTTTCGGCCGATAAAGTTTTTACCAAAATATCCAAATAGGATACCATTATGTTACATCAAAAACTTACCTCGATGACTGCTAGAAAGTCTAATTCGCTTTAAATCCCCACTTTAAAATGTGTTCACCAAAGAATAACCCGACGTAAGGATTCTGAGAAAAAGAAATCAAAGTTGAAAAATTCTGTTTATATGGGTCATTTGAACCACAATTACAGGGGAACTAATCCTTAGCTTACTTACCTCTACTAGGAGTCCGAACATAATGATCAATGCGAAGATTATATATTTATATTTGTGAGTCCGAAATTTTAGATTGCCCTCCTTTTCGAAGATCTATCTACAGGAAAAGATTCGCATAGACATTGATTTCAGCATGGCACAATTATTTTGACAAGTTCTTTGTGTAAATGTTTCCCACTTTGGAACACGCGTAACTGAAAAAAACATTTATAGCTCAGTTCGGCAGATATTAAACTTTGATTAAACCATTTGAACTAATTTTAAGCACACTCTGAAAAAATATTCCTAGATTTAAGGGAATATAGACTACATTCCTCGAAAATTGAGTCTTTAAGCCATTGTGGACTTATAAATAGTTAAAAAGTTTAACATAAGACCATACAATTAAACAAATCAATAGTGGGAAAGTAGTCCATTACCGAAAACGTAGCACATACCCATAAAAACAATTTCTTTGAATAAATTATTAACAAGTAGAAAGTTAACTTCACCAAACCGAAGTTTGTATACCCTTGAAGTTATAATTATTACATTTAAAAATGATACTTCCAAAAGTATAAGATACTATGTCTAAAAACACCGAAGCTATAATTTGTTTCATATTATTTTTCTACCAATTTTACGATCGTTCCTATGGCAGCTATAGTCGTCCGATTTTGATAACATTTAATTCGAAACTCAGAACTAATTAAAAAATTTTAGTTCCAAGCTAAGGAGGTTATATGATAAAAAACACCAAAGATATAATTAAAAAAATTTTTTTTTTCCGTTTATCCCTATTGGAGCTATAAGATATAGCTGTCCGGTCCGGCTGGTTCCGACTTATATAGTACCTGCAATAGAAATAAGATTTTTGGGAAAGTTTCAGCCCGGTAGCTAACTAAGAGAGCTAACTGAGAGACTACTTTGCGTAGAAACGGACGAACAGACGGACAGAAGGACATGGCTAAATCGACTCGTCTAGTCATGCTGATCAAGAATATATATATTTTATGGGGTCGGAAACGTCTCCTTCACTGCGTTGCAAACTTCTGACTGAAATCATTATACCCTCTGCAAGGGTATAATAAATCGTTTATAGGGAAGTCTTACAGAACTTGTAATCCTTTGTTAACAAAAGAATAGAGTTTAATAAAATATATTTACTGTGGAGTATGAAAAAGTTTAACAACACTTCCTAAGGGAATAACATGAACCTCCTTACGTTGGTCAGTACTGAAATTCAAATGTCAGGCTCAATTCCTAGTATCGGTCTAACAATGAAATGATATGACAAATAAAACCAAATTTATTTTACCATGGATTTTGTCCAAATATGGCTTGTTTGGTTCGTATGGACGGTAACTTTAAAGTGGTGCACGTGACGATTAGTGGTCGGATTTTCTTCGAGTTTTTACGATATTGACTATCATGGCATCGACTGTAGCGTTCTCTCTTGTTTTTTCTACAAGAACTTACAATTTTATTGTTTGGCTAGCGCACTGCTACCCAAGTGGTAGTGGACCTTAGTATATTGGAAGCGTTCATGTGGCCCTCAAAAAGACTAGTATGCTTGTCACGAATTTATCTATTGTAGATACTTCTGATTAATTTAAATATTATCCTTGCAGAAGTTAATAATGACGGAGGGAGGTGAAATCTTTAAACTTTGGGCACAGCCTCCAGTCGATCTGTATATTAAGATATATCTGTTTAACATAACTAATGCTGAGGCCTTTCTAGCGGGTCGGGAGCAGCTTAAAGTCGAACAAGTTGGTCCCTATGTGTACAAGTAAGTTGAATATTCTCATGAATTAGAAATTTCAGTGATTAATTATATGATTCAGGGAGATTATGACCCACGAGAACGTCACCTTCAATACAAATAACACTATGTCCAGCACTCCCAGTCATCCCTTGGTTTGGCAAGAGCAAATGTCAGGCGGTTATCATGAGGACGATGAAGTTGTAATGCTGAATATTGCCATGTTGGTGAGTACTTTCAAGTATTTATTATTCAAAGTTAAAAATAGTGTAAATATCTTAAGCACACAAAGATTGACTTTATATACAACGTTTTTTTGTTAAAGAGAAATTTTATCCAACTCAGAGTCATGTCGGCTTGGACTTCAAGAAGTCTAAGTTTCTGCCAACACACAAGGAGCGAATAGACTTAACTGTACAAAGTACAGTATATATGCATGTTTCATTTATTAGCCAAATACAATCATCAGCAGTGAAATCGCTGTCTTAATTACTGATCGAAGATGAATATTATGACGGCTGCTGATACTGTACTCGATAAATTGCTTCCAGTTGGATCTATAGGGTCAAACCTGTAAAATTCTGCTCTTTGTAGGGTTTTTTGAATAAAGGTGTGCTGTTTTCATTTCCATAATATTTCGGGTGCTCGTCGGAAACCTTTTTAATGTGCTTATTCCACGCATTGTTCGGCTCATTCATTAGAGCATTCACTAGAGCTTAGAAATAGACGAACATATATGATGTTAACATGTTTTTGTATAGCAAGGCAAGGTTACTTTATAATTTTAACATTAACTTTAAGCTTCATGACTCAAATAACCTTAACTAACCGATTTTAATGTGCGAAATTTTTAAAATGAACTTCCTAATAGGTCTAAAATGTGTGGCAATTAATACTGTGTTCTGTCGTAACATTTTTAAACTTCAAATATTTTGGGACCGTACAATGCTTGTATATGTTTATACCCGTTACTCGTAGAGTAAAAGGGTATACTAGATTCGTCGGAAAGTATGTAACAGGCAGAAGGAAGCGTTTCCGACCCCATAAAGTATATATATTCTTGATCAGGATCACTAGCCGAGTCGATCTAGCCATGTCCGTCTGTCTGTCTGTCCGTCTGTCCGTCTGTCCGGATGAACGCTGAGATCTCGGAAACTATGAGAGCTAGGCTATTGAGATTTGGCGTGCAGATTCCTGAGCTTCTTACGCAGCGCAAGTTTGTTTCAGTAGACTGCCACGCCCACTCTAACGCCCACAAACCGCCCAAAACTGTGGCTCCTACAGTTTTGATGCTAGATAGAAAATTTTAACTGAAATGTAATGTTCTCATCAATACCTATCGATTGACCCAAAAAAAGTTTGCCACGCCCACTCTAACGCCCATAACGCTTAAGTCTGTATACCGCCGGTAGGTGGCGCATTTTAATCTCGCTTTGCTGCTTGCATATCTCCATTTAGCTGAGTAACGGGTATCTGATAGTCGAGGTACTCGACTATAGCGTTCTCCCTTGTTTTAATTTTGTCATCTCCCGGAATGATTTTTTCAAAAAAACTCTAAGTTTTATTTCAAAAGGTACAGTTTTTTTTGTTTTTATATAGAAGAGTTATTGTTTGATATTAATGGTCTAATTAAGCCGATGAAATAATTATTTTGTTGTTTTTATTTGTTTGCAGCGCTAATTTGGCCACAAAAAGCTGGACAAATCAAGATAAAAGAAAGAACTCGTTATACCCGTTTCTTGTAGAGTAAAAGGTTATACTAGATTCGTCGGAAAGTATGTAACAGTCAGAAGGAAGCGTTTCCGACCCCATAAAGTATATATATTCTTGATCAGGATCACTAGCCGAGTCGATCTAGCCATGTCCGTCTGTCCGTACGAACGCTGAGATCTCGGAAACTATTAATACTAGGCTATTGGAATTTGGCATGCAGATTCCTGAGCTTCTTGCTCAGCGCAAGTTTGTTTTAGCAAGGTGCCGCGCCCACTCTAACGCCCAAAAACCGCCCAAGCCTGTAGCGCCCAAAATTTTCATGCTAGACATAAAATTTTAGCTGAAATGTTTTCGTCTCGACAATATCTATCGATTGACCAAAAAAAGGTTTGCCACGCCCACTCTGATGCTTCAAACTGTCTGTCTCCCAAATTGTTGAACGCATCTGCACCAAATTACTTGTAGTTGTATACACATACACATGTACACATCTGTATATACATACACATGTGCGCAGTTTTCCGAGTACGTTTCGCTTTCTGGAACTTTGCGGAACAACTGAGCAGAACCTTTTACATAATTGTGCTAGTAGGGAACACTCTTTGCGAACAGTGTGGATACATGAAACAGGGGTACATTCACTGAAAACACAGGGATAAGATCGGTCGCTACTTATTGTCCGCATCCCCTTAATAACTAACTCCCTTCCTTTAATAAGTAAAATATCCAATTTGTTTGATTTTGGGACTTAGCCAGTATGACCGTAATTACCACATTGATCAACACTGGATCGTCTAAAAAAATATTTTCTGAAAATAAGCCAGTGCTTCAAAAAAAGCATATTCCGAAGGAAGGGGGAGATCTATAAGCTTTTCCTGCTACCCAAGCCAAGCAATCTAACATGCATCATTGACCACCCAGGCAAATCACAAGAATGCTGCGGTAATAATAGTAAAAGGTCATATTAAATATTTTAAATCACACTAATTGCCAGTCTAAGCAATTGAAAATTAAAAAAATAAATAAACGTCTTAATTTTCCCAAGGGTGCACACCACCGTTTGCCTCTTGCAGCCTAGTTCATAAAAGAAAGCAGCTGAAACTTTTCTAATATCAAGAAGATTGAAAAAATAATAATAATAATAATTTAAGATCACAAGCCAAAAACAAACTTACATTAAGTATAAATCAAAACAATAATCGGGCCCAGCTTCAACGCGAGCAAGACGAGAGTCGGCTGTCTTTATAGCGAGGAAACGCTTACTTTACATATGTATCTCCAATAACGATCGAACGCGACATTAACCCCAGCCCCGTTCGCTGAACTCAAGCCAATAGTGAAGGACAGGTCGCGTTCCCTCTCTTCGTCGGTGCTATCTAAGACTCAAAGCATGGTCAGCGAAAAATCCGCTTCCGCCGCAACACTCCTTCCCACACAAATTGCCTACGTGCTTGGCTACGTTTGCTAGCGCAGTAACCTCACTAGTCACTGCTACCGTAACAACAACAACATCTGCAGCTGTAACAGCCGTGCTCACGATACCATCGATCGGTCAAGTTGTCAAATCTACGACTTTCACAAGTTCGACCGTGCAGACTGGAATGGAGCGCTACATTCAAGTAAATCGGAATTTAAGGCCAAGCTTAACAGTGATGCCTCCAAACAACTTACGGTGGAGAGCACAAGCAGAGAGAGTAGATTTGCAATTCTGGAGGACCAGTCCAATGTTCTGCCCGATGCAGCCACTGAATCGGAGAAGAGAAAGCTAAAGCCGCTTCCAATTTGCATACGAGAGAAAACTTTTAACTTCCTCGTGAATTCTATATTGGATCTTATTGGGAATGATAACATCCACGTTATTCCCTTAACAAAAGGCAATATTAATGAGACTAAGGACCAAGTCAAACACGAAGACAAGTTCAGAATTCTGACTGAATACCTACATGACAACAAAAAGAAATACTACACTTATCAGCTTAAAAGCAGCAAAGGCCAACAATCAGTAACAAAAGGATTTGAAGCACAAGTAGCGCATGCACTTAGGGAGAACGGATTTGAAGTAAAAACTGTTACCAACCCAATTAATAGAAATCGACGCCCTCAACCCATATTCAAGGTCTCTGTTGAGGAGCCGCATAAGCGCAATGGTACAATGCACAAATTGCAAAGAATTCGGACACACGAAATTTTACTGCACGCTTCGCCCCGTATGTGTAGCATGGCTCTGCTTAATTCAATTTAAACAAAGAGGACCCCAACAACAAAAAGTGTAAGAACTGTGGAGGTATTCACATGGCAAACTATACAGGTTGTCCAGTTTACAAGGAGCTGAAAAACCGGATTCAACACAAAGTGTCTGCAAATCGGTTCCAGACAGCACCATTGATACCATCGAAAGCTACCCGTGACGTCTTCTTTTAAACTGCAGGGAGATCTTTATTGGATAGTTTAAACGATTCCAGGAACGTAAGCTTTGCAAGGGTTCCAATATTAAACCTTGCCGGCTCTACCTTCAATGATGAAATATCACCAGCAGCCTCCCACCAACCTATTGAGCAGACAGCTACCAAAATAGAAATATTGATACTGAAATTCATGAAATTAATGGAGACAACCATGCAAGCCCTGATGAGAAATCCAGTTATTTTGATTCAGTTGCTCCAAAACACCTGTTTAAGGAGAAGAGTAACTGAAGTTCGATTATATTAAATCTTCAATTGTCATGTTAGCTTTCTCTTATACTATGTCAGATTCTAATACACATCAGGCAAACCGCTATGCGAGAGGCAAACGTTGTTTTAGCTAACGTCGCGAAAGCATTGGACTGACGAGAAATTGTAACGCGGAGGTAGTCGATAATCTGTAGCGTTCAACTCGAATCCTACTGCTTCTCAAGTCGCTACTCGGTATGATGGTCGTGCACTTCTAGCGATGCTCTGCGCTATGCTCGTCGTGGGTTCTTTCTACTTCAGCTATATCACAACATATATTCTTGGACGTTGATGCACTATGGTCAGTACAAACAAGTGGCCCTTACGATACCAAGCAATGCTTGTTACGCGAGGAGCCCTCAACCGATTTGGGCAAATGAACGACATGGAAGTAATCGATATAACAAAAGAAAGTTTAAAATACATGCTCACATAGAATGGTTAACAACATAGAAATTTAAAAATTATTGGAAGACAGAAAATACAAAGGTTGATCGTAATTAGTTGCGTTAGGGCTATCAAACAGTAAGGCGTGACACAGTGCATTATAATCGTCACAAAGAACACGAAAAGGATCATGAAGGGCATAATTGCATCTACATATTGGCAGGGACAACGGACAAAAATGACGAACTGTTCTACAGGGTACATTCCAGTTGAGAGAACTAAGAAGGAAAGGAGAGTCGACATCACCATTAATTAGTTTATGCAAAAACATAACTCCATGACACTTTCTACGATAGTATAGGGTTGGTAAGTCCAGCAGACGCAACCTCGCATGATAAGAGGGCAATCGACACCCT